AATTACTCCGTCCACTCGTCAGGGAGTATCAGCAATTGACTGCTTAGTCTTCAATTTTTCTTTTTTATAATCACTTCTCAAGGTGCAACTGTTTTTTTCTATGGTGCATGTGTGAATGTGTACGTTCGCGACTGGAACAACGTGTATCTGAGTTAATTTTAAGGTGAGTAAGTTGTTGGACGCACGATCACGACATCTCCAGAATCCAGCGGCATGAATTTAGTTTTCTCTTAGTTATGGGTGAAATAACAGGACTTTTTTTTATATTTTATTCTTATTTACTTCTTATTTTATTTATTATTTTTTAAATTATTATTTTTTTAGATGCTACAGAATGCTGGAGAATGTTACGCAAGGCATGCTACAGCTTGTTTGGCAGGAGATGGACTACCGACTTGACATTTGTCGTGTCACAGGTGGTGCGCATGTTGAACATTTTTGAAGCTTTATGAAATCGATTATAAAATCTACATCTCTTTGAATATCCTGTTCGAATTTTGATAAATAATTTTTTTTTATTGTTCAACATGAAGCCTATGTAATTTCGCTTGCTCGGAACATGTTGTTACTCAGATATTCACATTTTAAATTATTCCAATTTGAGTGGGGGATACATATATATATATATATATATATATATATATATATATATATATATATAATATGAAGTGTTATATCAGAACATGCGCATGCCCACTACAAAACTGTACATCTTGTTTCAACGTAAAAAAAAACGAAAACATTTTTAACGTTTCATCAGGTGGGGAATCACAATGGAATTGAAGCATTTTATTTAGAAATGCTGTTATCGAAGCATGCCTTCCACTTCCGTCATTGGAAAGTTTACCATAAAAGGTATAAAAGAATTTACATGTGGAGAAAGAAAGGAATCTAAGTGGTTAGTAACAGCAAGAGGGAGAAAAAAAAATGTGGGGGTGTGGTGGTATGGAGGGAGGTGATATAAACTAAGAAGTGATAAATCCAGCCAATGGAATTCCGTTGAATCATAGAATTTGTACTTTAACGGTCTCCTAGCTTGGTTAGGTTAATTTTTCTAAAGAGAAAACATTCGGAGACAGTTCTTCATGGAATGTAAAAGAGTACTACAGTATATTATGAAACGGACTTTCTAATATAGATTAGAATACTAACCTGATTTAAAATCATTACATTGCCATATTTATTATACTTAACTATATTTTACTTTACGATATGAATTAGAATACTACATACTTTTTCACATTTCTATTATATTTTGGCATAGGCGTTATAAAACAGAAAAATAATTCAAGTAATATAACGTTTTAATTTTTTTTAACGATGAATAGGTGACAAAATCGAGATAGAAATAATGATAAAATAACATTAAAATTAGTATTAACCTTCAAATTTCTATAAACAAAGTTTGAATAGGGAATTGATGTTATTGCATAAAGAAAGATAAAAATGGATAATGGAAGGTCTAGATGAGGTTGGATCGAAACTCCGACCGATTTGGTGTCAGTCCAAATTGTTACTCTTGGGTCATTAACAGCCTCCTAATAGGCACCTCTAATTTTATATGTATTGTCTTTACGAATATATATATATATATATATATATATATATATATATATATATTTATATATGTGTGTGTAATGGGAAGATATATATATATATATATTATATATATGTGTAGGGGAGATATATATTATATATATATATATATGTGTGTGTGTGTGTGTGTGTAGCGGAGATATAAAACCACAAGCGTCGATTATAAGCATGGATTGAAGATCTTGGAATGCTGAAATTTAAATTTAATTTATTTTTTTAGATGTGTCTTGGAATGTAGTCTAGACGATTTCCTTCAGTTTCCTTTTGTCACTTTTATTATTAAGTATACCACATTATGAAAATAGAAAATCTGTTCAGAAAGGCAAAATGTTGTGAGAACCGGGACAGAAAATTACCTCGGATGATCTAGCGATCAAAGCACCTTCACCTTAGTAAGTTGCTTCCTCTTTTAAAGCAGCTTTCTTTTAATCGAAATTACGGTCAGGCTCTACTAATGCATTGGGTTTGTTGTTTTGTCTTCATATAATATTTTATTTACACTTCTAGATGTTTCTCCTATGTATTCCTTGTGACAATCATTACAGGTGGTAGAGTAAACTCCTCCTTCAAGTTTTAGCTTATTATTATTTTGTTTTGTATTAAGTCTAATTGTTTTTGGAGTTTGACCATAATTTCAATTTTCAAAATGCTTTATTTTCTTTCTTTGGTTTCAACACCGATCATTATTTTCCGAAAGAAAATATGTTATTAAATCAGCCCCGAAACAAAACAGTTCAATGTTTATTCCTTTCTGTTTGTTGTTTTGCTTTTCCTTGTGCCTACTCTTGTACCAAGTACTAGTATCGTCTGGAATAATCATGCCCGTGAGAAATGTCCAACTTATAAAATATGCGTACAAGTTAACTAGTAAACGTTGCGTCGATAAATTTTATATAAATTTCAT